ATGCCCCCAAGGAGGGTTCATTGAATACTTCCCCTGGGGGGGGGATTCCAAAAATTTGACCCGGGAATTGGAAAATTTTCAAAAAAACCCATTGGGGGGCCCAAAGAAACTTGACCCGAGGGTAAAAAATTTTCGAAACCCCCTGGGGGGGAACCCAAAAATTTGTATTATCGAGAAAATTTTGAGGTGGGGGTTTTGGGGGTGGAAGGGGGAAAAATCCAAAAAAACCTTGATCCAAGGAGATGGAGAATTTCGAAAACCCATAGGGGGGATTCAAAAAACTTGTATTATCGAGAATTTTGGGGGTTTGGGGGGGGTGAAAGTGGGGGGGGGGAACCTTAAAAATTTGATCCGAGGAGATCATAAGAATTTCGAAAACCCCCATGGGGGGGATCCAAAAAAAACTTGACCCAAAGGGATGAAGAATTTCGAAAACCCCATAGGGGGGAAATCCAAAAAACTTGTATTATCGAGAAATTTTGGGATGGGGTGAAAGTCGGAGGGGGAACCTTAAAAACTTGATCCGAGGAGATGGAGACACAAGAAAATGAAATTCAAAAAAATTCGAAAAAAATCGGAAAAAAATTCGAGACGCGGGACGATCCGGGACGACGCTGCAAAAGGGGCGCAGCAGAAGGCGCGGGGGGGGGATCGCGAAGGGCGCGGGCGGGGGTCGCAAAGGGGGCGGGCGGGGGGGTCAAGGGTGAGGTAGTCTGGAGGGCGAGGTCAGGTAAAACCGGAAGTAACACCTGGGTGTAAAAAGGCGACCCTCCAGCTGCTGGCCCTAGCCGGATACACCGCTCAGAGGAAAAGTTCACTACTTATAATTATATATATATATATATATATATATATATATTTTATATATAATATTATATATATATATATATATTTATAGACAGTAGTAACCCTGGCACCTTTGGTATTGAACGAGTGCATTGTGGAGCTCGGGTTACTAAAGAATGGCTCGTCAAAGAATTAACAGTCCGAATATAACGAGTCAATACCCAGGTTATTCTCACACCACCACTGTGTTCTTTGCATGACGTCCTCCCTGCAATATTAACAATTTTCTTCTTTTTTTTTTTTTTTTTTTTTGCTCCGCCACGTGTCCTCACCAGTTTTTTTCTGTTTCTTTATATTTAATTAGTAATACCTTTATTTATTTTATTTAATCTAACTTAACTTTTAGGTTACTTAACTATCAGGTAACTTAAAATTAGGTATGCATGCAACATTAAGAAAATACAGCTGTAAGTCCAAGATATTGTAGTAAATTTTATTTCATTATGTTAAGGAAATTTTCGAATCCCAACAAGTAAATAAATAGGACACATGTGCAAACTTAAAATCTGGAATGTTGAAAAGTTTCGCTTGCACACCAGGCTTCTTCAGTCAAATAAAAATTTGATTAATATACTGGAGAGAGACGAAAGCAATTTCGATGTGTTCAGTCCCTCAGAGTCTAAAATTACAAGAGAAATTTTACAATTTAATCCATTTAAAATGTTAATTAAAATTTAAATCCGAAATATTGTATAAATTCGTATTATAAATTTTACTGACGTAACTTAGACTTAATGCTATGTGAGTATACTTCTATATTTTACTTTGTGCAACATAACTAGGTTTGTGGTGCTGGAGCAGCGCGTCTCCCACTCCGTTATGGCACTGGTGCAACTTGGATCCCGTATTCCTGTTTACGTCCCCAAAGTCACCCTTAAGAATTTGTTTTATTAGTTTCTTTCCGAGGCTATAGAGGAGTCAACTCCCCAAGCCGGGAATGGGAGTGGGGTTTTTGCATCCAATGTCCATAAACAAGGGATAGATTCAGCACTCTCTCTAGCATGGACTTTAGAGGGGAGTAATATTCCCGAGTTTGGAGATTGTAGAAAGCTGGGATCATCTGATGAAGTAGGTAAGTTTTGGAAGGAACAGGCATTCTGGTGAGTAGGTAGAAACATCATAAGTATCAATGTCTTTCATCCTGCCTTCCATTACCCTAGGCCTTAGATTTATTTTCTATAATCGATTAATGATATTCGTGTTCCTGGCAATACGCACTAATATTCTCCATGATATGGGGGTTTCGTAGAAACATTGCGCATTTGGTGGAGTGTAAAGACAGGCACAGGCTCTCAAAATGTCTTTTTTTTGCGATGTCGCCTAGGAAAATTGTTGAAGTGCCAGCCAGGTACCACGCTCTAAAAACCCAAAATATTATTTAAATTTGGGACAGTGTTTGTGATTTCCCTTGATGACTAGAGAAAAATGAAGAGGGGAGAGAGGTGTCCCTTGTTGCCACCTTTTCGCATGAGTCGATTTTATGTTCCCCAAACAGGACTTTAGAAGTACTACCATAATTGGGCTGGATGAAATGTTTAGACGGAAGTGAAATGTCTAGAAACTTCGTTGAAAGCAGCATTCATCTGACTAAGTTAAACTTGTTGACAAAGTCCACTTTAAACGAGTTTTTTGATCTGACATGTTAGATTCATGAAATCGTAATTACACGATTGAAAACCCAAAGCACGGTACGGGTAAGATTTGTTTGCATCATTTAAACACCAAAAGGGTGCTAAATTTACATTATGTGAAAGTCTTTCTGTAGCTTTACTAAGCCCTACTGTGGACATTTCTCTTGAAGTCTATCTACAATTACTGCATTAACACGTTTTTTCTCATTGCCCAACCTGACAGTTACATAAACGTGTCATACAATTGAGCTTTTTATCTGAGAAAAAACCAATAATTTTAGAGTTGTGGGATCTCCCATCTGTACTTTCATACCATAAAGACATTTACGTTTTATGAAGTACGCTGGGATCCCTGGTCTAATAATGCTTTACATTTTTTTATTTATGTCTTTTATCACAATTTTTACCTGTAACACAGGTAAGGCTACTTAAAGCAAAACCATCATTATTAACATTAGCAGCAATTTTTACATTAGCTACTGTTGTGTCAGGATTGTCAACATTACATTATTATCAACATTATCATATAGACCTTTACACATGACTACATGGTGTCTTCCTTTGTGACATTGATAACAGTTGTTTAATTTGGCATGACAATCCTTTACATTGTGATTACCTAAACACCTGATACATCTGCCAAGTTCCTCCAATCTTTCACTTCATCATTCATGAATTGTATGCATTGCAATTCTTAGAAAAATGAGTATCCTTGCAGAAAAGACAATCTCTGTTTTCTTGCCCTGGTTTCTTATTAACTGGGCTCCCCTTAGGAGGGTACATTATTTCTGATTCCTGCTACTTGATATGCCCCTATGCAACTCTTTTTAGGAAATGAAATTGATTATTACCATTGGGATAATTTTTCCCTTCGTGAAACTTGACAGATACTTCAGAGTTATTATGTGTTGCATGTTTAAAATGAGTTGGTTGGTGGTCTGCAACTAAACAATTAATTCTTGTAGACCTAGTCTTATTTCCTCCAGACCAAATAGCCCTTGTGATATTTGTTTGAGACCCATTCAAGTGTTTTACAGCTTAATTTATTCTGTACCATGGAACTCAATAACCAGTTGATTCCTTCGATTATATTTATTACTTAAAATTTTGAGGGGTGCTCTCCAGTTTAACTCTAAACTGCTGTAAACCTTTTTTAAGTATGATCTGGAGATTTTAAATTAACAATGATATTCACTAGATCCAACCTACTTTGTTCTATATTACCATAAGTGACTTTCAACAAGTAAACTGCTTCCGTGTAAGAGTCATCTACATTGGGAAAGGCTTGTATGAGTAAGTGGCATCCCCTCTTACCTGCCCTTTTGAGGTAAAAAAAATTTAGTTACACAGGCTAGGTCACTCCTGTCATGCACAGCTGTTTTAAAAAATTTTTCCCAAAAACTCCTCCCAATTTTCTCCAGGACTAAATACAGGTAAACATAATTCTTGGAGTTTTGGCAAAGACATCTTTTTTGTTGGAGTAGACTGATTAACTGCCTGGTTTACACATTTTTAATTTATTCAAAGCCTGACTTTTACAAGAATCTTTTTTCTAATTCATAATACTGATTAACATGAGATGTACTTCAGTCTCATCTACACAGTTTACTAACAAATGTCCTTCATATTTGTTTAATATAATTTGTATGAATCATATCTATTCCCTAAGCATCTAAATACAATTTTAAATCATCAGTATTCACATTTCTTGATTCATTAATTCCAAACATTTATTATATGCCTTGGTTACATGACCCTTTCTGGCTTGCAGTGATGCTTTCTTTGCTCTATATTCCATATGTTTGTCTTCTACATTAATTTCCTCATTTTCAGCCATGATGCAATGTATTAAATTCATCTTAAGTAATAACACTGATTACAACTTACAACACTGATACAACTTACCTTTGAATAAATCAACAGTATGAACTCTCGGTCCCTCCACATCTCACACGTTAACGAACTGATCAACATCTAAACGTGCTCTCTCCTCACCTGAACTCTTCAACAAAGGCACACATGGCACAGAATCATACTCATGCGATGCTAAAATGTCGCTCAATGTAGAAACAATATTAGCCTCTATGCCATCTGCCTCTCTTGCTTGAGGGATCTCACTTCTCATGTGTTCCACCTCATCATGGGTGACAGTCCCAGGTAGTCACACAAGATGACTCTACTAGCATGGCCGATCAACCTCAAACACTCCACTATGTCAGGGTGGCAAGTCCTCGACGACTTCATCTTCTAGAGTCTGACGGGGAACCTCACCATCCAGACGACGACCACGCCCTGAATGCGGCTGGTGCTGAACACATTTTTCTGCAATGTGTTCCAAAGCGCCGCAGAGGCGGCAAGTTCGCCCTCTGTCCCAGGATACGTAACGTACACCTGGAAGGAAAATCCTCCAGGTGTACGTATGAAGGAATTGGCTGGTGTAGGGACATTTTTCAAAGTGAAGGACCCCTCTTGAAGACCAGCATAGAGGCCGTCAGACCACCGACCCATAGTAATCTGGTGGATCTTCCCATAACGTTCAAAAGCGTCACGTATGTCGACTTCATTGGCTCAAAAGGCACTTTTTGGGCCACGTACCCACGTATAGTATTGTGAAACGTCATGCAACTTAACAGTGACTGCTGGGGTGACTTGCTTGCTAGCATCCTGGTACTGGTTGACAATCTGCTCATAGTTCTCAGTATCACAAAACTTGACGAAAATCCGGGAAAGTCCATTAAAGGGTGACGCCACACAGGGATTCACGCTGGATGCCATATATATCAGAATGATCGCTGGTACTAAACACAATCGATGCACTGGTGATTGTGCCCCGTATTAGTTCAATACAAGCGGTATAACTCTCCGGCGAAAACCAGTCGCCATTGTTGTTGATGTAGCAAAATCCTCCACCAGGTTTCAGAACTGAGCAAAAGCAGCTGACAAACGCTCAGCACAATGTCTGAGCAGAGAATTATGCATAATTCAGGGAGTTTTGGTAGACATTTCTGAATTTCCTTACTAGGTTGACCAGCAACATTGTTTACACCCTTTACCTTTATTGGTTTAGCACAATATTAGCTATATAATTTGTTTTAGACCAGAAATGGTAATACTATATAAAAATTGCAAACTAAAACAAATATAATGTTGATGTTGAGTAAAGTCACTGGTTCATGCTTTTGTAGTATATTTCTGAGCAAGTAGTCCAGCCATTTCCTGCCTTGTGAGGTGTGAGCAGATGACCACACCTGAGTGTTGTGTCCTTGTGAGGTGTGACTAGATAACCACACCTGTGTGTTGTGTCCTTGTGAGGTGTGAGCAGATGGTGATCATATGAGTACTGCATCCTCACTGCATCCTGGAGCCACAGCCGCAGCAAGCAGCAACAAGGCTGCTCTTATTTCTTGCCACCCCCTGGGCCTATCCGAATTCCAGTGATGGCCAAATTGCAAGTACTGCTGGAACAACATGCAAGGAACCTATAGTGACATAAAAACTGATGGTGACGACAACGAAATGGACTAAATATGACAAAAGAGGGACCGACAATCAAGTACCAGACCTGCCAGACGTGAACTAGACATGAGACGTTTTCCACTACAATGAAATAACTGACCTCCATATCAACTGCACCAGTGTTCAATGGGAAGACAACATGGCAGAAAACCTGATCAACAAAACTCCAAGGAAATGACAGGTCTGTAGGGCTTTTTTCCTCAGTGCCAAACGAAGGAGAGAATTGAGCATTTAAACATGGCTGACTGGCATCCAAACACCAGCTACTGCCAGACGTACATCTAGCGAAGTGAAACTCTCATCTTTACTGACGTTCATCTGTACTGACAGTAGCATCATATCTGTACCACCATCATATCACCTGTACCAGTGCTAACGAGAGGGAAACACAGGAGACATCGTCAAATCAACGGTACAAAACTCCAAGATTATAGGACGGTTATCCCTCAGTGCCAGTCGTGGGAAAGAAGTGAATAGGTAAACAGTCAAGGTCAATATTTTAATAGCTGACCTATATTCAGCTGACCAGTGTATAGTGAGAGAATCATAGCAGTAAACGCCAAATATATCTATAAACTCAAGGAAAGTCAGGTTGTAAATGGCATTTACTTCCCTCAGTGTTTTAAAAATGGCCGAGTCTGCAGACCAGGTCAGGAATCAACAACAAGACACAACCCCCGATAAAAGGAATTGAGGGGTATTTGGAAGGATAAAACCATTGATTAAACTTTTCTGGTCTACCAGAATGGAAAGGAGTTAGAAGTTAATAGGTGAAGCCAGACTGTGAAATGAGGGGGGAAAAGGGGAGTGTGTAATAAGGGGTTAACTAAAAGGGGTTTGTGAAGTTAAGGGAAAGTGAGCAGTGAATGGGTTTTGAAGAAGAAAATTTACTAGTAATTCAGTGGTGATTGCTAAAGCAGATACTAAGGGGTTTCTAGGTGCGAAAAAAAGAAATAAATATTATTGTATATGAGTAAAGAGCGAAGAGTGAAAATGGCAGGCATTAGGGGGGTACAGGCTGCCATAATTATATTTATCTTTCTTCTTCAATTCCAAGAAAAAAAGAAATCAGCAGGGGGGCTAGAAAAGGTGAATGGAGTAACAGCGCCCTGGACGGTAAAAGCCAACAGTTGCCATCCTACCAGAAAAGTAAATGTCACTATCGCCGGAAGGAAATGGCAACACCGCATACCCAAAAAAAACAGTGGCACACAGCTCTTATTGTAGCGCTCTTAAGTGGTGATATCCAAATTAATCCAGGACCTAAACTTTTGTGCAGAGGCAAAACAGACAGATAAATGACGGTGATAATGACGGTCTAGTAGCTGGGAAATGATAACCTTAACTCCATATGTAATGCATCATAGGTCAAATGTGAGACAATACAGCCTTATTATCTCAAACACTACCAAACAGGTGCTTTACACTGTACTAAAGTACGCATGAAAAACAGAAAAGGCACCTTATGTAAAATGTGTAAGGGGTGGGTGCATGATGGATGTATGTACAATTATAGCAATGGTCCCAGAATTCATTTTGTGTGTAACAAATGCACTTTGGCACAGTTACCCTTTAGCAATGAAGACATTGATTTACCTAATATTAATAAAAATGACCCATTCCAATATTGATGATTAAATTTTTTATGAAAACAGGCCTTCACTTTATTCATGTCAACGCAAGATCACTTCTTCCTAAATTGGCAGAGATTAAGATTCTAGCTAACAAAATTAGGGCGGCAGTTATAACCATCTCGAATCTGGTTGGATGATACGGTGATGACGACGAGGTCAAAATAAAAGGTTACAATATAAAAACATTTTAGATAGGAACAGAAAGGGTGGGGGAGTATAAGCCTACATTAGAAATGACTTAGCTTACAACCCAAGACCTGATTTAAATAACAATAAACTGGAGATTTTTATGGTTTGAAGTGCTGTTTTCCCAAGACCAAACCCATCTTAGTGGGAACTAATTACCGCCCTCCTCCCAAGGACCAGTTCTTAGAAGACTTTTCCAGAGTATTGCCCGGGACTTGAAAACAATTGCGGTACAATAATACTGGGCGACTTCAATATCTGTTTTCAGCAGCAAAATAACGGGCTATGCAAAAGGGTATAAAAGCAAATTCTAGGTTTAAATAGTTACATCAACTAATTAATACACCAAAACCCGGATCACACAGTTCTCAGCCACCTAACTGACCACTAACTTTGAAACCCGCGCTGAGAACATTAGTCAGTCAGGAGTCATTACCACAGGTCTTAGTGATCATTTCATTTTACTGCCCCCAGGAAAAATCACTAGGGATAGTTTAGGCCTACAGAGGACAATAAAAATGAGGTCAACTAGAAACTACTGTAAAAAAACCACGGGTAAATAGGCTACACAATTGTGACTGGACAGAGATAACAAGCTGCACGGACGAAAACGATGCCTGGGAATAATTCAAAACAATGTTCACTACCATCCTTGATAATATTGCCCCAGTTAAAGAGGTTAGGATTAAACGAAGAACTGAACCCTGGATGTTACTGAGATGTTAGATAATATGAAATTCAGAGACGAGCTGCTAAAAAGACTTAAAGCAAAAGACGGGATATTGCAGCACTAATGAATTCCAAAGGGTGAGGAACAGAGTAGAGAGACTTATAAAAGGAGCAAAGGCAAAGCACTATTGCTAAAAAATTTAAAAGAGTATAAGGATAACCCCAGAAAGCTCGGGCAACAACAAAACAGTTGGGGTATAGCCATAAGCCAGTAGTAGGTCTAACATAGTACTCACTATCGATAATGAGGTATGCCACGAAACTTAAGGTGGCAAATTGCTTAATTCCTACTACACATCTGTTACATAAACACTAGTAAGTAAACTACCAGCTGCATCAATACCTTTAACCACAGACTCTGATAAGTTTCAAACATTCTATACCAATAAAGGGGTAACCCCAAACAGTTGTCATCTAGTAAGTGTATCTCATGACTTTATTCAAAAAGAACTAAGCAGGTTTTAAAACCCCAAATAAGAGACAGGCCCTGATAACATCCGTTTAAATTCCTAAAAAATGGTGCTTCTGAACTGTCAATCCCTATTGCTCATATAATAAATCTATCAATCACCACTAATACCGTACCTAGGAGGACAGAGTTACTCCTATCTTCAAGAAAAATAGTAGGTCTGATGTCAGCAACTATAGGCCTGTTTTGTATACTCAGTAAATATCCAAAATTCTAGAGAGGGCGGTGTACTCTCAAGTAGTTAAGTACCTTAATGACAACAACATTCTCCATAGTTATCAATCGGGCTTTAGAAGATCTTACTCAACGACACCTCCCCCCAATTAATCTGATGGATTACCTGAGAACTGAAATGTTTAAAGGAGAACTCATAGGTATGGCAACCTTAGACCCTGCAAAAGGCCTTCGATACTGTCAACCACAATATATAATGTTTAAAAAACTTCAAGCTATCGGTATAGGTTTTTGTAGACTGGTTTAAGTCCCACCTTAGCAACGGGAGACAAATTGTCAAAATCAAAAAAATGAATCAGAACCCTGCCGATAGCATGTGGAGTTCCCCCGGGTAGTATTCTGGGTCCCTTATTATTC